AATTTGTTCTGTGTTTATATTTGGTTAATTTTAATTATTACTTGATTAAGACATTAAAAAATGAGATTTATAATTATTTAAAGTAAATGAAAAATTTATATTTATTATAGCAATCTAAGATTTTTTATCAAATTAATTTCCAGGGGATACAAATGATCCCCTTGCTTCATATACCTTTGTATTTGACAATGCATAAATGTTATTTTAATATGGGAATTTTTTTTAGATCATCCAATTTTTTCTGTAAATATACATCCAGATGGGTCGCGGTTTGCTGAAGATAGACAAGGTATTTCGCTTTCATTTAAATTATTTTAAATTTACTTGATTTGTGTAATGAAGTGACAATTTTTAATTTGAATAAAAATATTTCTTTTTAATAATATAATAATAAAATATTATATAAAAATATATATAATGTAAAAATATTTATTTGATTAAAAATATTAATTTAAAAGAATCTTATATGAATGTTAATATACACGAGCAACTGCCAAAAAAAACAATTGGAAAAACGTGAATTCACGACTAAAGGAGCGTGAAAGGACCTTACATCAGCTATTCTAGATTCATGAGTCATAATTTTGTACTATTTTAAATTTAAATATGCCAAAATTCATTTGTATAAATACAGAAACTACAATCGATAAACCATGTGAATTCACTACAAAAGCAGCACAAATGGAGCATATGTGTAAAAGTGTTAATCAAAGGTGTGATTCAAAATTCACCAGCTGTAATTGCAAACTATGTAAAAAAAGAAAACTATGCAATCAACAAAAAACTATGTAAACATTTGTGATAATAACTATTGGGCAGTGACAATAACAATATTGTTTTGTAACAATAAATATTTTTATTGTTACGAATCAATTTGTAACTATATTGATTTGTAACAACAATAATAACTATTGATTTGTACCAATAACAATAACTAAACGAAGCAAAATCGAGCCTGTCAAAATACTTTCAAAATGCCATGTAAAATTTCTGGGACAAAATAATTTCTTATTTAATAAAAATAGAAAATTATTTCAGAAATTTTATTTCAGCAAAAAAATAATAAAATTTGTTTTATCCATTGCAATCCCTATAATTTTTGTGTGAAATTGCATAAATTTTGAATTTAAAGTTTCGCCGAAGGTGCAATTCATTTAATAAATTTGAATAATGAAATCGACTGTAACGTATGAATGCAAGCTCTCATAACATATATATACATATAAATGTTTAATTGTGAAAGTATCTTAGATGTGTATTACTTATTCTATAGTTTTTTATTATTTTGATATTTCTTTTTAAAAAAAATAATATTTTGTTATGTTGTGATAAATGTTTCAAATGTATGTGTTTTGTTTAACAAAATTTCAAATTTGGGAGGGGAAAAAATAATAAAAAACTAGGATTGGAGGAAATGCAAATATTTTTACTGGCAACCAAAAAGTTTTGGTGGCTACCAACATTTTTCCAATTCTTAGAACTCTGGTAATAACTTGTGTTTTATAATTTCTCAGAAGGTACGAGGCTTTCTTGAATAAGTCTAAACAATATCAGGGATGATATAAACCATTCAAAATTTATCCGATTGGCTGGGTACACTGCTTGATGCTAACTTGGCATTTAGCATCAAGCCAGATTTTTCAATTAGCATGCATACATTATTTTATCAACTTTTATATTATTTCTGTATAAAATGCAGTGTCTAATTCTATTACACAACATTCATAGACAGCTGCCCACACCTCAGCTAATCATGATTGGTTATATTGCAGAAAAGAAAACAAAGTTTTTTTACATTCTAAGCGAAAATTCTTTCTGCGAGAACTCTGTAACGTTCTGCGACAATTTGAATCACTTGATTTTTATTAAAAAAAGAATCATCAATATTTAATCACTTTTTTTAAAAAAAATTAAATTCAAGTCTATTATAATTTTTCTGGAATGTATTTAGATTCTTAAGGCTGCGATTTTCATTGGTCAAATTTCATTGATATTGAAGATTTTGTCCCGAAATGTTATGAGAAAGGGATGTGTGTAAATTATTATTTAAAGTAGACTGTATGAAGTATGTTCAAAGTAGAGTGATGGATGAAATAAGTCGGAAGCTAAATGCTGATAAAATTGATCTGAAGCTTTTAAATTATAATTATTCATTAGTTGCATGCAAAATAATTTGCTGTTTAATAAATATATTTAAATTTATGCCTGTTTATTTTAACGTTTATTTAAATATTAAATTAATATTTTTAGAACTGATTTAATATGTAGTTTGCGTATAGGACATAATGAAGGAAGCCTTGTTCTGCCATGAGTTATTTGGAGTAATTTTTTTGTTGGTGTTACCTGTTAACTTATTCTTTACCTGATATCTGACTGTCTAATTAGTACATCATATTTACAAATTTATTTGGATGTTAAGCTTGAATAAAGACAACTAAACTGTTCTCTAGAAAAAATTCATTTTTACTTTTATTTTTTAAATTCTATTTTGAAGAAACTGTTTACCATGTTTTATGTGACGTAATTATTACTTTCTTTTAGTTATACTATCTAAACTGTCTTTGAAAATTGTAGGTATGGACACTGGTTGAATTGTTATATGGAACATGTCTCCTGTGGTTGAAGAAGCAGATGAAAACGTTTCAAAGGTTTTGTGTCGAAATGGATAATCATTTTGGTAATTATGATTTATATTTCCCAGTATAGTATAGCACAAAATTAACAGTCTCCATATGACACTGAGTGACTAACTATTGAAAATGGGCAATAAATTTGTTAATTGCCAACTGATCGTTTCTTTTTGCTGAGCTCATGTTATACAAAACACGTGCTTTCAAATACTCGTGTTATTTATTCGGGGAAACTGTAATCATCCTAGGCATGTTCAGACAAAATTGCAGAGGAACTGAATTATAAAAGGTTTATCAACTATTTCAGATTAACAAAAAAAATTTATGTTTGTTAAGAAATATAAAATTTTTATTGCGTTACCGATTTGAAAAGTAAAACAATAAATTTTATTAGTTTAAAACGTTATTTGCAGCACTCAAATTTTACATAAACCTTCTTGAGAAGTTTGGGAAATTTTTCTTCATTTCAGAAATTCTCTGAATTAAATACAGTCTTTTAATGGTTTACAGTTTTTAGTTTTTGAAAAAGTGGTGAATGTTAAAAATTCTGTTATAACTTTCCTTAAAATAGTATGTTTTTTAAACTTTTTTTCTGTTTAAAATAGAAATAGTAAATTTACATGGACACTTTTATACTAGAATGTTTTTGTTGAATTTAAAGTTTTTTTTTAATTCAATCCTTTTATCTAAACTTGTGTAAATTGTGTGTGGCAGTCTGGTAGTGGAAAATATTTAGCTTCTTGTGGTAATGTTCTAATGATATTATTGGTTCTAATGATATTATTGGTTCGAATGATATTATTGATTCTAATGATATTAATAATTCTAATGATATAATGGATAAGGTTCTAATGGTATAATTGAATTAATTACAATCCTCTTTTATTGGTTTACAATTTTAAATTTTTGAAAAAGTGGTGACTGTTAAAAATGCTGTTATAACTTTTGTCTAAAACTATGTTCTTTTTTTTAATTTGTTTTTCTGCTTAATATAGAAATATTAAATTTACATTCACACTTTTATACTGAAATATTTTTGTTGAAAGTAAAGTTTTTTAATTATTCTTTAATTTTAGCTTGTGTAAGTTGTTTCGGTTGTCTGGTAGTGGAAAATATTTAGCTTCTTGTGGCGATGACGAGGTTCTAATGATATGCGAAATTGGAAGGTAAGTTGATATTTTATTTATTTTTATTATATTTCTGTTTTTGAATTAAACTTATTGAAGTTTTCTTATACCATGTTGGCCAGTGGTGTGACTGTTGCTTTAATAGTGTCCAAACTACTATAACACCAACAATTTTGCTATGAATTGTTCTATGTGTGCCTTTTTTTCCACGTAATTTTGCTTCAAATTGTTCTTTTAAAAAATAGATAAAACAATTCAAAAAGCAGTAATTTTATGAGTTGGGATTATTGATAAATTTATGCGCAACATCAATAAATTTATCTGAATGAAATAAAAAACTTGTCTTTTAATTATATGTGCTGGTTAAACAAAGTTATTGCTTGAAACAGCTCTAAAAATATCTTTTTTTTNTTTTGAAGAAACTGTTTTATGTGACGTAATTATTACTTTCTTTTAATTTTGTAATATTAAACACATTGGTTCTTTTAAACTTGCAAACTTACTAGTGCAACATTTAAATTGAGATATGTTTCTTTGAGCTCTGAAGATAAAAATTAGAATTTTTCCATTGCATTGCTGATTGATACAAAAGTTCTACTGCATTTATTATTTTTTCTCATCCATTTAATGTTAAAATTTCTACACAAATAGGAAAATATGTTTTTATTATAATATCTAAATTGTTTTTGAAAATTGTAGGTATGGACACTGGTTGAATTGTTATATGGAACATGTCTCTTGTGGTTGAAGAAGCAGATGAAAAAGATGAAAACGTTCCAAAGGTTTTGTGTCAAATGGATAATCATTTTGGTAATTATGATTTATATATACCAGTATAGTATAGCACAAAATTAACAGTCTCCATATGACACAGAGTGACTAACTATTAAAAATGGGCAATAAATTTGTTAATTGCCAACTGATCGTTTATTTTTGCTGAACTCATGTGATACAAAACACGTGCGTTCAAATACTCGTGTCATATGCATGTTCAGACAAAATTGCTGAGGAACTGAATTATCAAAGGTTTATCAACTATTTCAGATTAACAAATAAATTATATGTTTGTTAAGAAATATAAAGTTTTTATTGTGTCATCCATTTGAAAACTAAAACAATAAATTTTATTAGTTTAAAACATTATATGCAGCACTCAAATTTTACATAAACCTACTTGAAGAAGTTGGGGACATTTTTCTTCATTTTAGAAATTCTCTGAATTAAATACAGTCAATTAAATATAGTGAATTAAATAATGGTTTACAGTTTTTAGTTTTTGAAAAAGTGGTGAATGTTAAAAATGCTGTTATAACTTTCCTTAAAATAGTATGTTTTTTAAACTTTTTTTTCTGTTTAAAATAGAAATAGTAAATTTACATGCACACTTTTATACTAGAATGTTTTTGTTGAATTTAAAGTTTTTTTAATTCAATCTTTTTATCTAAACTTGTGTAAATTGTGTGTGGCAGTCTGGTAGTGGAAAATATTTAGCTTCTTGTGGTAATGTTCTAATGATATTATTGGCTCTAATGATATTATTGGTTCGAATGATATTATTGGTTCGAATGATATTATTGATTCTCATGATGTTATTGATTCTAATGATATTATTAATTCTAATGATATAATGGATAAGGTTCTAATGGTATAATTGAATTAATTACAATCCTCTTTTATTGGTTTACAATTTTCAAATTTTGAAGAAGTGGTGACTGTTAAAAATGCCGCCTTTAAATGTCGCCTTAAATGTCGCCTTTAAGACTATGTGCTTTTTTTTAAATTTGTTTTTTCTGCTTAATATAGAAATATTAAATTTACATTCACACTTTTATACTGAAATATTTTTGTTGAAAGTAAAGTTTTTTAATTATTCTTTAATTTTAGCTTGTGTAAATTGTTCCCGGTGGTCTGGTAGTGGAAAATATTTAGCTTCTTGTGGCGATGACAAGGTTCTAATGATATGCGAAATTGGAAGGTAAGTTGATATTTTATTTATTTTTATTATATTTCTGTTTTTGAATTAAACTTATTGAAATTTTCTTGTACCATGTTGGCCAGTGGTGTGACTGTTGCTTTAATAGTGTCCAAACTACTATAACACCAACAATTTTGCTATGAATTGTTCTATGTGTGCCTTTTTTTCCACGTAATTTTGCTTCAAATTGTTCTTTAAAAAAAGAGATAAAACTATTTAAAAAGCAGTAATTTTATGAGTTAGTATTATTAATAAATTTATGCACAACATCGATAAATTTATCTGAATGAAATAAAAAACTTTTCTTTTAATTATATGTGCTGGTTAAACAAAGTTATTGCTTGAAACAGCTCTAAAAATGTCTTCTTTTTTTTTCAAAGTGCGGAATTGCTACTCTGAAATTTAAAAGATTGTACTCTAAATGGTTTCAAAACTTCTACCACACCATTGATGTTTTTCTTAGTATAATGTGTTTTTTTAAAGTTTTTTTTTCTCATCTAAAATACCAATTTATTTCTTTATTTATTTTGCATAGAGAATCAACTATATTTTGAGATTGACTATATTTACAACTATATTTTGACTAGTTCTATATAATCCATTTTGTCCATTTTTTTTGTTGTTGTATTTTTTCCACTGTCACAGACGAAATCGCTTTCTTTTAAAAAAAAGTATATTCCTATCAATGATCCTATTTTGTGATACTGTAATTTTAGTTACTTTCAGTTTACATTAGTTTATACCTTGCAGATAATTACTTGTAATTTTCTAAACGTTTTCATTTATTAAATTTTTAATGAAGTAAACCACTTTTTGTACACAATAGATATGGTCTTGGCTCTACAGCATTTGGAAGTAATGGGAAACGTGGAACATTGGAGATGCGTTAGTACATTAAACGGACACTCTGTAGGTGTGTATTTTTTAAATGTTTTTTTTCTTAACTAGAGAATATTTTTTTCCTTTTAGAATGCATGTTATTACAGTTAGTGCGTATTTCTATATCTCTTGTAATGATTTTTTTGAGGGCTATGTCTATTAAATAACTCTAAATAATAATTAATCTTTTTAAATAAATAACTTAAAGATTCAATCATTGCTAGATTCAATTATTTTAAAATTTTAGTCAATTTACTTTAACAGAGAGTTGTAATTAAAGAAAACAGACAATTTAGCATTTTTAATGATATGCAATTTTAGGTCAAAAAAAATGTTAAAAAAATCACCTGGTGATCATTGAGGACAACTTCAGGCTTACTTTTTAATCATATTTAATACACCAATACACAATTTTATCAGCGTGTTTGGTTTTAGTTCTGTCCGACTTGAACGACGAATTAAGTACTGCACGGTTTGAGTACCGTTCTCGCAGTCATCAAATTGTACAGTTTCCTCAATTCGTCAGAAATAAAACAATGCTACAAGTTTGCAACAGCACTCGTATTTTGTTTATTTGTTACATATTCAATTTAATTATCTGTGTTTTACACGTTGTAGGCTGATTAAAAAAACTAAGTCCTTTGGAAGCTGACATTACACAATGTGCCAGACTAGTTACAAAAGTGAATACTAATTTCTAACCTATCTGATGAGGGTGTATAGCGTTTTTTAAAAGTGCTTAAAGATGCTTATTTTCGGTTTGCAAGTTTATATTGTGAAGCAATTCTGGAATACATTACAAACGCTGAGAAATCTCTTGACCCTACAGTCACAAGGGACGCTTTCACCAATGAAATAAACAGTGCCTATGATGTCCTTTTCAACAATTGGCTTCCATCAAGAGAAGCTAAAGTATGCATTTTCTCTTACTTTAAGAATCTTATATTATCTTCTTAAGCCGCGATGCCTCAGGGGATAAAGCGTTTGCCTTCCAATGAGGTGAACCGAGTTCGAATCCTAGAGATGACTGGTCGATACGAATCCGCATCTGGCTTGCACCGACCACAGTGCTGACATGAAATATCCTCAGTGATAGATCATGGATTAGAGTTCTTTTGCCGTCAGGTTAACTGTGGGAGGTTCTCGTGATCTTCCTCTCCATGTAACGCAAATGCCGGTTAGTTCCATCAAATAAAGTCCTCCACAAAGGTAAGTTTCTCCCAATACTTGATCCAGGAGTTCACTTGTCTTCTGAATTGGGTTCAAAATTGCAAGGCAACGTCATTGAACATTAGTAGTTGTAAACCCAAACATTGGGTCGGCTGTTATAATAATTATAATATAAAGTAACATTATCTTCTTACTAATTAGTCCCACAGTGGATTCATCATTAAGACACGATTCCCAGCAGATCACTGAAGTCAAGGGTCACTGGCTGCGGTCAGTGTGTGGGTGGGTGACCACTTGAATCAGTCTGCAAAGAGTTCGAGCAGGGCCGGATTACCCATTAGGCCAGGCTAGGCCATGGCCTCGGGGCCCCCAATGATTAGGGGCCCCCATAAAAAACAAATTTGAAAATAAATTTGAAAAAATTAAGAAAAACAAGGATTTTCTTTTAAAAAAATGAATTTCAAGTATAATAAAATACGATAATTTTTTTTAGTTCTAATTTAACAAAATAAAGTAAAATTTAATTAATTATTATTTATTTTAATTTTAAATTTGCTTTCCTAAATCAGGGGTGATTGTGCTCCGGAAAAAATCCGGATTTCCGGAATTTTCGCTAACAGTGACTAGGTAGTTTCCGGAGATCGAAGGTCCAGACGTTTCAAAATATCATTTATCACAGAAGTTTCCGGAAATCAAATTTTCAAAGGTGGAACTTAAAAACACAGTTTATTTTATTTGTTTGTAAGGGAGAGCCAGAGAGATAAAGCTTATATTCATGATTAATATTCATTTTTTATCAGTAAATAGTTGTTATAATCATAAACTCAAGAAAGAAAGACATATTTGTAAATTTTAATTACTTCTCCAGGTCATCATAGCTATGTGTAAAATTTTAAATATATTTTAAGTAAACTAAGAAATATAGGAAAAAAAACCTTGTTTAAATTTTTTTTCAATTTAAACTGTTTTTTGTTGTTTTTTTTAACTTAAGAAATTTTCCGGAATTTTGACTTGGGCTCACAATCACCCCTGGTTTATTGTAATAAATAGAGGTTACTTTAAAACATTTTGAAGAGTAATAAATCAGTCCAAGAAATTAATAACTGTGCATTACATTATGAATGTGTTCATTGAGTGTATTTTAAACTAGGTAATATTAAACAACTCTCCCTGCTTGAAAAAAACGGTCTGACGGTTGTTATCCACTTTGGGAAAGATTCACCCCGACCTGACGTTACTGTGATGGTTGTGTCAATCCTTAGTAAGAATTCTAGTCCTGTCAAGAACATCAGTTTCCAAGCAGCTGTTCCAAAAGTATTCCTTCATACTCTTTTTACTTATTTTATGGTTGTCACTTGTGGCACTTTTTGTACTATAAATAACTTTCACTTTCTAAACTTCTGCAAAAGTTCTATGACTTTTCACTGTTTATAATTCAGATGTGTGTACATCATGGGTGCAAGTCTTCTGCCCACAGGACGGATTTCCGTTTTTCGAAAATGTCTGCGGACGGAAGTAAGACGGAAACAAGACTGACTCGAAGACGGAAATCGGAAGAAAAAAAATTTCTGTCCGTAAAAATATCTTTTAGGTCTACGTTATTGGTCTACTTTCTTATGTCCTGTTGTTATTTTATCAAAAGACAGATGAATAAATATTTTTTGTACAGTATTTAAACTTGATGTATTATGGTAAAGCTTTCTTAGATANTGGGTCCGAGGGTGTGTGGTATAAGTCCTTGTTAAACTGTTTCACAGTAAAGTGCTGGACTTCGCGCACAGGTCGTCGGACTACTGAAGTGGGGGTGCCATCCCCTCTGCAGAGGATCAAAATTGTGATGGCATGTCTTCGGATCGTCCTCGGGAATGTTTCCCAGACCTTTGCCAATAGCCCATTGTGCAGCTCTAGTGTGACGTGTATGAACTACAACAATTATTATTTCTTATTAATTATTTCTTTCACTTATTAGAAAATGTGAGTAAAGAAATGTTTGAAAGCAGTTTCATTTACAGAAATATTTACTTCTGCTTATTTCTTTTGATTTAAATATGTTTTTCAAGAATTATTATAAAATGAAACTTGAACAACTTAAAACAGTATTGAAAACCAGAGATTACTATGTACTCATCTTACTACTTGATACATTGTCTGAAGTGTGCTTTTTTGCTCTTAATTTTTCTCTCTTTTAAAAAATGTTTTCTTTTTCAGGTGCGTTCTGAAATCGTAGTTGCCCTTGGTCAGATGAACCATTTGCTTCCATCTGAAAAACTCAAAGAACAGCTTCCAAAATTAATGTCTGCAATTTTTGGCAATTTACAATAGCCATCAAGAATATCAGCATACAACTCGGGTATGAATTATTATCAATTTTTGCTTTCGCAACTTACTGCTTGTTTACATGGAAATACTTTCCAATATAAATTCTTCGGTTGTTTATTCTTTATTTCAAGTTTAACTGTTATAAAATAATTATTCTTTCATCAGAAAGTTTTACACTTTAGCAATGGCACTTTATACAAAACAAGAGTATCATGGAACAAAAAAGAAATATTTTCAAAGGAATGAATAAAGATTAGTTATTTGTTGCTTGCTCATACTAACTCGTAATTGGCTGTCGATATTTAAAATATATTAATTCCTATCTTGTTGGTCTATAATGTATCTTTTAATTGCTATATTTTTTTCATTAAGGAAGGTTTGCATTTTAGCAATCTTTTTTTACACAAAAAAATTACCATCTGAGAAAAAAAAATTTTGTATGTGTATGAAAAAAATTTAGTTATTTGTTGCTTGATCATAATGATTTGTAATTGGCTGTCATTGTGCAACAATTCTAATTTTAGTTACAAGCTAAACATATAATAATAAGATTTTTAGATCTAGATATATGATTTTAAAAAGTTACTTTGTTGCACTATACATTACTAATGTACTTTTTAGAAAAATTTATTGTTG